TTTATGAGCCGAAACGAACGGAAACGCGGCATGGATATCGCAACGCTAAGGAAAACGACACGTTCCGGAATTCTTCGAACGGTAATAATAGAAAGAAAGAATAGAAGAAGAAAAGGATTTCTCGGTTGGTTCTATTGTAAAAGATTTTCAATAGGTGGGCCAGCGTAAATGGGCTACCCCAACAACAAACGTGGGACTCGATTATACGAAGTTAAGGAAGCATCGTTCGAACGAGAATCGATCGGCAACCAACCAACCAATCTCTCTCTCTCTCTCTCTCTCTCTCTCTCTCTCTCTCTCTCTCTCTCTCTCTCAATAATCCGAAAAGGATTCTTTTCAATCTCTCTTTGCTTACTACTTATACGTCCTTGATACAGAATCTCGGGGTGGCGAATACGCGTCCCGTTTTATTATCAAGTTTCACGGATATTTATTTTTACCATTTTATGTGAAAAGAAAATTCAACTAACGTTTCCAAAAGTATTTTTCTAACTTCTCATTTCCTTTTCTATTTTTCACCATCTATCAGAAGTGCTATTTCGTAAAACGCGACGAAGTATCTCCCGATGAAACTTTTCATTCGGATTGAAAGATAAATCGAGTGAAGAGAGATAGAGAGGTAGAGAGACAGAGAGAGAGAGAGAGAGAGAGAAACAAAAAACAAAACAAAAATACAAAAAAGAAACATGAAAAAACACAAGCCGAAATCAAGATAACTTTTGAAAAGATAGAAATATTAATCGGTTACCTTTGTGATACACGCAACGATTTCCATGCGAAATTAAACGCGAACGAGTATATACAGAACAACGTGACTGGTGGTTGGTTTGTCGACGCGTCGACGCAAACATTTCCATCCGTGAGATTAAAAAATCGTATCGTTCCCCTAGGGCGAGCTTCATTGCGGCCGGTTGAATATATATTTTTTCTAAACTTACGTTTGTTTACTTAAATATGTATATATATATATATACATAGTTATATGTGTATTTTGATAAAAATCCCAAAAATATCACGGACATCAGTCAATTCGCGCATGGGTTATTTTTTTTATTTCTATTTATAATGTACGCATCGTAGAAACCGAATACGAACATTATTAATAAGTTGCAATCTTGAAACAAATAAGATGATCGTGATTATTAAAGAGATAAAGGAATCAAAATCGATGGGGTTACAGTTGAACGAAATCGAGTAAAAAATAGTTTACCTACGATCGAATAGTTTAGGGTGAAAGCTTAGTTAAAAGAATACTCAATGTCCTTATTTTGCCTCTTCCTTTATTTCTTCTTTTCCTTTTTCTTTTTTTTCTATTCTTTTTTCTCTCCCCAATCCCTCACCCTTTCGTTTCTTTCGTTCCCTTCTTTTTGTTTCTTTTTTTTTTTTTTCTTCACGAAAACAATAAAAGCTTCTAGAGGTCGGAGCTGTAGTAGAGTTTTTTCATTTAGTTGAGTTTCGAAGGAAGAAAGGGATCTCATTTCAGAATACCGGGCTCTTTACGCCTTTGGCTTTTCCGGCTTCGCGGCCGTAGGGGATTTTGCTAAGGATATGCATAATAGTAGAAGGGGGCTTTTTAAAACACCCCCAACCAAACCCCACCCCACCCACTTTGGATTTTCCTCCTGCAAATAGATAAATAATTAAGCCATGATTAAGGCACCACGGGATATCCTTATAATATAAGTTGAAATAAAGTCAAAACAAAAGAATCTTCTACTAACCTGTCTCCGTAGTAATTACAGTACAGTTTAACGGAGAAATGATAGTATCCAATACCAACAAACCTTCCATACATACATATATCTGTCTTATAGTTCTTCCTCCTATTACCGATCAAGACAAGTGAAACGAACCTCAGCCGACAGTGTGTGTGTGTATGTTTTACTTGAGATATTTATCGTTCTCACGGCAAATTCCAAGGCAATGGATACGCCTGTGGTGTTTATACGGAATGGAAGTACTACTATTCAAATATTCCTTTACTCTACTACTAGAGAATCCGTCGCGCAGACAAGATGTAAACCTGGAGATGAAACATGATTCAACGTTTCCTGAGGATTATTGTACAGAAATAGAACACTTCCTTCCATTAACTTCTTCTTCTTCTTCTTCTCCTCCTCTGTCTTAGTCGTCTTTTGGACCTCAGTACAGCAGCAAGGGAATCCCTTTAAGAAAAGTATTGTCCTCGGTTAAATATTTAACGAATATAACGTTGTGTCAAGCGTGGATACCTACAAGGGAAACGATTTTCATTTTCTTATTTATTCAATAAGATAGAAGAATGCTATTGAAATTGTAATAAAGATGTAATATTATTTGTTCATCTATCTAATCTATTCATTGTAATATCGTGAATAATAAATAAATAATCATTAAAAATAATATCACACAGAATGGTATGCAAAAAAATGGAGATAGGTAAAGAAATCAAATCGAAACGATATATTACATCGGATCATAAATAAACTTTTTATTCCTCGTAACGACGCTTATTTATGAATGCGTGTATTTATGAAACGTGTTACTTGGTAAAAGGTTTTTGCAATTAGAAAACCCCTTTAGTTCTCGTGCGCAATCACGTTGTCTCGCTGGATGATAAAGGAACGTTCGAGATATCTCTCTCTCTCTCTCTCTCTCTCTCTCTCTCTCTCCCTCTCTCTCTCTCTCTCTCTCTCTCTCTCTCTCTCTCTATTTAACGTTTGCATTTACAACAATATATCTGTTAGAGATGGTAGAAATAGAAGGGCGAAGGGATTACGGGGGAGAGAGGGTTTAAGGGTTAAGACAGGTGGAACGATTTCGTATCTAACATCTCGCGGGCCTATTATTCTCGCGATAATTTAAGGACGCATGCACGCACGGACGCACGCACGCACACGTGAGTGCACGAACACACGCGTGAGCGCACGTAGAATGTATCAAGGATAGTTTATGCGATCGCATTGTATGCGGGACCCTCTTGGCGTTATTTATGATAAGATTTTGCACCTTCCAAAAACGGAAGGTGTACTTCCATTAAGTACTTTGCCATGATGCGAATAACAATAGCACGATTCCAACGATAGTACTATTACGGGCAAGAAAACGCGCCCGTAATTAAGGATTACCGCGCGGTGATTAGCTCAGCCAGCAAAGGTATTTAAATCTCGATGGAACGATCTGTGAAGCGAGCTCCTCTTCTTCTTCTTCTTCTTCTTTTTCTTCTTCTATTCGTAGATAGAATAGGCCTCTACGTCCTTAGCTTCGAAACTACCGATTATATTATACTTACGCGCAGAAGCGATACTTAAACTACCTCACCGACGTCGGACGTCCCAATTAACGAGAAGTATCTTCTAATTAGCCACTAACCATTATTCTAATTTTCTTCAGTCTCGAACTTCATCAACCTTCGCCCCAACCCCTACCCCCCATTACCACCACATCTCTTACCGTGGAAACGAGTATCAACGTCGATTCTATCGATTTCGTTTTCTTTTATTCTCTCTCTCTCTCTCTCTCTCTCTCGCGCGCGCCTGTGTGTGATGCTTTTTAAATAATAAAATAAAATACAATAAAATAAAATAAAATAAAAATAAAATAAAATAAAAGTAAAACGGGATCGCGCAATACGTGTAACGTAAATGTAACTTTAACGTACGTTACCGGTTTCAATTTTTATCTCTCTCTCTCTCTCTCTCTTTCTCTGTCTCTCGTATAAAAATTAATTAAACAATGAGATTTATCGGTGAATAGAGTCGGACATCGACATGAAGCTCGGACTATCGGTGCTAATAAATCCACCGCGTTATCGCTCGAAATACGGTAATAGTATTAAGTTGATGGGCGAAGATCGAAAGCTTCTCCCATACCTGTCGATATTCGAGCTAGCTGACGGCTCTCTCTCTCTCTCTCTCTCTGCTCGTAGATTTACGGCATTCCGTTTGCTGGATTATTCAATAAATTATTCGACGACGTTAATTATCCGGCTGTCGTTTGATCGCCATCGAAAACCGTCAAGTCGTTAATGTTCTGAATAATCGAACTCACGGGGAAAATATAGGTATCTCAGAATGAGTTAATAAGAGAAATAACAGAAAAAAAAGAAAAAAAAAGAGAGAGAGAGAGAAAAATAGATAGAAAGAAAAATGTGGCTTCATTAACGATTAAATCCACGCTTTATCCCTTGTCCCCCTTCGTAGATCCAACTCACGTACATCGATCCTGTGAGATCCACGATCCACGTACTACAGGACGAGGGCTATACGTTGAAGAGATTTTTCCACGCTCCATTCGTGAGGTGAACGCCGATAGACGCCAATTTTCACACCGTTGCAACAGATAAGAGAACGCGTTTGGTATTCGATCGCGTTACTCGCATCTGCTTCGTTGCACGCGTTCTTTCTCATTGGCGTGGCTACCGATCCGAAGTTTGAACGATTTAATAATCTTCTATGATGTTATCTTTATTCGTTACCTTTCCGAAATAATGAGAAAACAAATTTTCTTCTATTTGTTTTTTTTTTCTTTTCTTTTTTTTTTCACACGTGGAAACAAATTTATTCTCATTTTATTTTATGTCTCTTTTCTTTTCTTTCTTTCGTTTTTCTTTCTATATTTTGTAATATCCCCTTGAAATAAGAGAAATTGCTCCAAAGTTTTAGATTCAATGAAAAAGACGTAAAAACTTGACGCTTACGTTGTTGCTACCCTCAGGTACTATCCCTTTTACTTTGGTCCACGTGACTTGCATTAGAGAACGTGAGAGAGACATAACTTGCACTTGTACGTTGACCCTCTGACGTTCCTAGGATTACGCCTAAAGTTGTTTAAAAACTCATTTATCAATTTAACTTATCGCCGATTAAGCGATAAGCTCGTCAGGTCAAGTTACTTTTTCACAGACGAACCAGTGTCGACTTCGAAGAAAATATTTTTTTCAAAATTTTTTCTTACGGCAAAGATACGTGTCCGATTGTTACATATATTTATCTGGAAATTCTTTTCCATCACGTTTTCAGGTGTTCGTGGATTGACAAATGTGTCGGTCGATATACCAATTGCAGTTGCAGCTGGCACGACGGTCAACATGAGCTGCAAGTACGATCTGGAAACGGACTCTCTTTACGCTGTTAAATGGTACAACAAAGCACACGAATTTTTTCAATACGTTCCGAAGGAGGAACCACCCATACAAGTTTTCGGAGATCTCGGTGCCAAAGTTGTGGTAAGAATTTAATAATATTCAAACATTCATGAAATAGAACGGGAAATTACGTTGTATTATTATATATAGATATTATATTGATCGCATATTCGTGGTTAGGTGTATCTATAATTACCAACATTTTAACCAATAAATGGACTAGATTTGCGGTAATTAATACTATCACTATGGAATGGAAAATTATTACATACGACAGATGTTAATACGATAGACAATATTTTAAATTACGCACATTTTTTCTTGTTTTTAGAACGCAATTCTATGATGATACGAATTCGCATTTTTATATTTTAACCACAGAGAGACGAACGATAATTACTATTATTTAAGAAAAACTTTCAGATTATATATTCCAGGGAATTTTCGTCAAATATCAAGGTTTATTTTATCTCGCTATTTCGTCTAGACATTTTCTTAACGTCTGTACACGTTCAATCGATTGTTCCAATACGACGTTTACAACGTCAATGGCAACGAGAACGACGTAGACGATGACGCCGATGACGACGTACGAGCAACATATTAACGAGAGAGAAGCTTTTCAATGTAACGAAAAAATTGATAATAATGGGATATCAAGAAAGATTGATCAAAATGTTAGTTTACCTTGTTATTTTCGAAATACAAATTTTCATGTGGCAAAAGCTGCTATCGCATCTGTTCGTTATTTTCCACAAAAAAGAAAAAAAAGGGAGAAAAAAAAAGAAGGAAAATTCATTGCAACAAATAAACGCATAAAATCAAAGAATCGATAACGCGTCGAGAGTTTGGTAATAATAGGAATGACCGTCGTTATCGGTCAAGTCTTATGCGTGTCGAATGAAATCAATCGTTTGTAGGGAACAAAGTTAAACGTACGTCACGATAAAAACGCCAACATCCTAGTTAAAAACAGTTTGAAAAAAAAAAGCTTTGCCGGAAAACACATAGGCTTGCTCGTTCGTGTTGTGTGCTTGTCGCGTCGGTTATATTTACTTACTCTTTCTCTTTCATCCATGCGACGCTTTTCCAATTAGATTTCACCGATGGAAAGAATCTACCCAACGCGAGGGAGCATTTACCCTCAATTCGATAAATCTCGATACGCGTTTGTTGGAAGAGCCAACCGTACGTACCATTCGTATAGATAGCACACACATAGGGAATGAAACTAAAGAGACAAATATTCACCATCAATTCCTGCTATTTTGTTAAACGAATATATCTATACATATATACGTATATACATATAAATATACGTATCACATTGTTAGAACGTTTCGTACGAACGGCTGCCACGAAACTTTATCTTATAGTTTTACGATGATAAAACGAAAATAACGCGAAAGTCGAAAGTTCGTAAAACGCACTAAAGCGTATTCGAACGGAATCAGGTGGAATGTCTCTCTCGTCTCTCGCATGACGTATCAATAGAAGTACCAAAAGCTTTTTAACTTTAAATCGTCTCCATGGAATACATACTCTCTCGGTTATGCTCGATAGGAAAGAAGTAAAAAGGGAGTAGGACATAACGTATATAAACGAGAGAGAGAGAGAGAGAGAGAGAGAGAGAGAGAGAGAGAGAGAGAGAGAGAGTGAGAGGATGGATGAGGATTGGTCCTCTCAAACGGCTTACGATTGGTGTACGTGCCAAGAGCAAGCCGCTAGAGCGGGAGGAAAATTGATTGTGTGATTTATATCGCGCTCTGCCACCGGCAACATATAATTAATCGTTGTTGCGAGCTATTGTTTGTCGCGGACGAGCGAACGCCGCGAGGATGTCAAAGCGGACGAGTAAGTGCGATCGATTTGCAATAAATGGCACTTGCCGGCTGTGCTCGGGCTCGGTCAATCCCGCGGTCTCTCCTGTTAAATTAACTGAAAATTTCAACCGACGTTACTTTCTCTTTCTCTCTCTTTCTTCCTCTCTCTATCTCTCTCTCTTTCATTTCCACCACCTGCCACCAACCACCCCCCTTCTTTTTAACTTTTTCGCTCGCGTTGTTATTTCGTTCGTTACTTTCGTCTCTTTGATCAAAAATTGTCAGCCCCTTACTATCAACCGATAAAAATAATGTATTTTCGATTCTTTTTTTTTTGTTTAATTCGATTACATATCTATGTTTCAGACTAATCAGAGCAACGCCAAATACGTAACCCTGAAGGATGTTCAACCAATTAATTCAGGAAAATATCGTTGCGAAGTATCCGAAGATTTTCCAACGTTTAATACTATATCGGTTTATGATTACATGCAAGTAGCAAGTGAGTATCAATACATTAACGTAATATTTGACATAAGATGAGAAATAATCGAAATCGGTATATCGTATTTTTAAAATATGGAAATTCGAATAAAAATAGGAACAATCATCGAACGAATATTTGACTTTTAATTCGTTTAAATGTCGTGCACACACTTGCTATGACTTCTTTGATATTTTTGACTTTTCTTTTTAACATTGACTAAATTAAAGAATAATTAGCAAAAAATTTGAATGTTTGATCGAATAATATAAGAAAAAAAATTAAAAACTCTTTCTTTTTTTTCACCGAAGAACTTGAGAGACGAATCATCGAAAAACACACACAATTGTTCCTATTCTTTTCTTTTGTTCTTTCTTACCTCTACGCATTTTGAAACGACATCGTAAAAATTCTTCAATTAAAACTCTATAGCCTCAAGTCGTCGGCATTCTTCTACGTTGTAGTCTATGAGGATAATCGAAAGGAATCCCTACTCGCCGTTAATTTAATTTTCCTCTCTCTCTCTCTTTCTCTTTCTCTTTCTCTTTCTCTTTCTTTTATACTCATTTTAAATCCGTCTTTTGCCGGTTTCGTTTCAAATGAGCCTTTCATTACCGCAATTGATTATACTACATGGTGAGCGGCATTGTCACCGTAATCGCGATCAATTAAAACGCAGTTAGGCGAGGAAAGGTTGACAAACAGGGTAAGAAAGAGACGGAGTGTGCCAGGGAGAAGAACGAAGAATAAAATAAAGAGAGAAGAATCGGAAAGTTCATTCCCATAGCTCGTCTCGTGTATTCACGTTGATCTAACGAAGATCAAATACAAGTAGCGATCCCTTCTTCGAAGGGCCGAGGGTTGATTGCCTCTTATTTCTGATCACGAATCGCTCGTAAAAGCTCGATCATACTGTTGTATCGAATGATTGTTCAAAATCTTTTCTATTTTATTCTTTTCTATATACGTCATTTATTCCTTTAGTATAAAAATGCTTTTCTATCTTCTTCGCGATAAGTTCTGATAAAATAGTATCCTGTTCTGGGACATATTGAAAATAGTAAATAAATATCCTTTTCTTGGATGTGGCCTTGGAAAGTTAAAGGATTGATGCGGAAATCGTGCATGAGAAAGGAAACAATTCTTGGATAGTTTAAAGGATCGTTCCGAGCACGAAATGTACCTCGTGATTTGATAAAAACAAGAAGTAAACAGGGGAAAAACGGTAAAGAAAGATAAAGAATATGAGAAAGGTAAAGATAAGAAAGAGAGAGAAATAAAGAGAATTTACTACTATCCGTGGTGCTTACTATAACGATTCTTTTAACCGTTCGCATATAATTTATTAGTCACGTATGCGCTCCTTTCGACTAGATAGAAGAACTTGTAACGTGTCGAACGATATATATATATATGATCGGAGGAATCGATTTTCATTTTCAATTTTCGTTTCCCCATGACATTTCGATGAGTTTGATTCAACGCGACAACGTAGAGATAATCCAGGTTCTATCAATGTTTTTTTTTCTCTCTCTCTCTCTCTCTCTCTCCCAAATTCCATCGAATATATTTCGACATCGGTTATGAGCAAAATCGAGGTGTTGCGTCGAGAACCGAGAAAGTTGTCGTTACGTTTCTCCTTAGTCGTGCTCCTTCTCCTCCTCGAGGCCATTAAATGCTGTAAAAAGCATCGTTCGAATTTTTCTATAAGGATTGCTTTTCAACTTGGCGAACAATGATCCTGACCCAGCGACTTCGTCGCAACACCTTATTAGTACCGACTCGCTTTTTTTGTATCGACTAGAGAAACGAACGTAAAAAGAAATGAAAAATAAAAAAGGAAAGAGAGAAATGGAAAAGAATGGAATCATAATAATGGTCAAAGAATGTAATAGGTCATTACTCTCGACAAAAAGCTTTTTCTTCTATCGATAATGCACACCGATACACTCATTACGATGAACATTCTTTGATTTGTAGATCTCCCTAAAGGTGATCCGGAAGTGAATATAGAAAAGCCAAGATACTCGGTGGGTGACACGGTCAGAGGTAATTGTACCGTGCCAGCAGGAAATCCTAAAGCTAATATTACGTGGATGGTCAATGGAAATCAGGTTTGTAATATGATCGTTAAAATCGGTTTATATTTTTTACGAGAACCTTTTTTTCTTTTTTTTTATTTATTCATAAACGATATTTTTTTCAACGATCATAAATAGGCAATTTTTCCCATTATAATCTTTTCATATTATCCCCATCCGATCGATTTAGTCGCACCCCCTCCCCTCCCCCTCCACGCCGCCCCGTTTTTACCAACCGCGTTAATTATTCATTGATACGCTTTATCACTCTATTATGTTCACCCGGCGTTAAATATATGAAGCTTTTAATTTAATGGCTAGATAAAAGTGGATCGCGAGGCTGGGGGCCGGCCGCCACGCTTGAATTTTAATTTAGAGATTTATACGGGCGCGAATTTGAAAATTACAAAAGTGAACGAGAAATATATTCATGTCGCGTTGTCGAATTATTCATGCGAACGCGAAATCCAGTTCGTTCTTTGTTTGTTTGTTTGTCGGCTTCTGATAAAACCACTTGACGATGATACGTACGATCGATCCGACGGATGTTGATCGAACGCTAATTAAATAGGAAATAAAATTAAATGCGGTCGTATCGTATCCCGATTAGAGTTTTTCTCTTTTTTCTCTCTCTCTCTCTCTCTCTCTCTCTCTCTCTCTCTCTCTCTCTGTTTTTAATTCAATATCGTGTAATAGTGAATCTTTTTTTTTAATTGATACTGCAATATTATCCCCTCACTCTCTCACGCGTTTATATTAAAAAAATAATTTTGTTTAATTTCGATCGACGTGAACGATTTTATTTTTCGGATATACTATACGATACCTCGTTAACGAAAAGACAAATGCTAATACGAGTTATAGAAGTTTGTATCGCAAGTTCGATCTTGTTAACTCTGAGGACTAACTTCCAAGATTGGTTTAGCGTTAATTCTAGAAATTGGTGTGTCGCGGTCAGCCAAATCCCACGTACTAAACGTATCTTTATATGTTACGTAAACGATCGTTTTGTTAATTCAAATATTACATAAATATTTCGTAATATAGAATCTTATCAAGGAGAAGTTAATCAACAAAAATGTCGTTTTATAAAAATTCATACTTTGTATTATATCGTAGTCACGTAGAAAATCAAAGAAAAAAAAATATCAGCTTATTAGGATCACATTGAAACGATATTATAAGACTTTTTCGTGTACGCGAGTATCTTCTTTCCACGAGCGTTGCATTTCTAGAGTGGAAGTTTTATGGTTGCTCGTGAATTTTACGTCGAATCGAATGTTTCCAAAGTCTCGTATAAAGTGCGTTTCTATGTGAAGTATGCCCTGTATAAAGGCGATGTCAGTAGAATATCGTACGTATTCAAGGGAATCAGAAAAAAAGAAAAGAAAGTTTACGATAGAAAAAGCCATCGTGAAAATCGTATTTCGACTGGATACTTTTTTTCTACCCGTCTTCGACTTTTCCCTATCGAAAAATGTATATATAATACATATATAATACTATATATGCGAACAAAAATCAAATATCGAATGTATACTTTTATACATTTGATGATAAAAAATATTAATTCTATAATTTTCAATCGATCTATTTGTTGTTCGAAACAATAATAATTGTTGTGCGAAACAAACGTTGTTGAAGGATATCAAATTGCACGTTCGCAAATTGGAATAAAATATTTCTCGTTTACGTATAATATAAAAGTTCAATCAAAAATATCAGCAAAAAGTTTATTTTGACGTTCGAATGTATTAAAAAAAGAAAACCGCTTATATATGAGTAGCAAAGTGAAGCCGCGCAAAGCCATTCAGGAAATTATAAACCGCCCGTACATGATGCTCCGTATCGATACATTCTGACAGACTTCATTTAATCCGGAACTCTCACTTCTATGCGAGCTAGTAATCTTAAACATTTTACGGCCATCCTAAGAATCCGATAAATATTATAGTTATAACCGAATGCATTGCAAATCATTTACGACTCTCTCGGAGGAGGCGTTACCGCGTAAACGAGTGGCAGGAAGTAGTAAGGATAATTTTCCATCTTTCTTCTTTCATATCTTTCGTTTTCCTCATTCCCCTCGATTATATATATATATATAAAAGTCTTACGATAATAGTACAAAGGTCGTACGATACCTTTTGATTTTCAACCAATTAGTTTCTTACCATCCTACGAATTTATATATCATTATATTTTAACTGATATTTATATGTGCGTATTTCTTCCTAAGGTAAACTCATCCTTCGTAATAAACATCACGGACAAGTTCATCGATGATCATTACATGGCTATAGCTGGCTTAGACTTTGAGATTGCTTCGAACATCTTTACCAACGGCAAACTGCACGTTGTATGTAACGCCAACGTCTTTCATCTCTATCAGAAGAAAGCCGAAGTCGTCTTAATGGAAGAACGACCGATATTGGCTTCCGTATTGGGAACACGTGAATCTTCTTATACTGGTACGGTAATGTTAATCGCTACAACGTTAATGGATCGCTCGATTATGTTCCATGTGTAACCGCTTTACTACTCGATTAGAAATCAATCGAAGCTCTGTGTGTGACCTTAGGAATAAAAAGAAAAAACAAAAGAAAAAATACAAAGAAATAAGATCTTGTAGTAACGATTCATGATTGCAGTTAGCTTTGTCTTGTACGTCTATTTGCATTTACATTCGATATCTTTTTGTTTTAGGTAATGCAGCAAGACGCGTCGAGGAGTGGTTTTGCGCAAGTGTACTGGCCACCTTGTTGCTGTGCAATCTGAGATAACATCTGTGAACATCGACTGGATTTATGCATACTACTGTGTCGAAGAGGAAGAAAATAAAATTGTTTGTAAAATTTCGAAAATATTAACACACGAGGGAAAATGGAAAAAAAATAAACAAAAAAAAAGAAAACGAATCAGAAAGGGGGCGAAAGAGAGTGAAGAGATGGAAGAGGGGAGAGAGAGAGAGGGAGAGAGAGAGAGAGAGAGAGAGAGAGGGAGAGAGAGAAAAGTTTTTCGTTAAAATAAGTATCGAACGTATGTTATTCGTGTAAATAGGATAAAAAAAATTTAGTAAAATATCTACGTGTATGCGACATGCGTCATCTCATCGTCAAATGAGAAGACTTTGTAATCCGAATAAATATGTCGTATTATAATATATTAGGATCGACGATACGTCGCGCTAAAATATCGAAGAATTATTTCGAACACATTATATAATGTTTTTTATCCTCCGACAATGATTTTGATACCTCCTCTGTACCGTTGTACCCAATACAATGTGACCTATCACGTTTGTAGGGCAAAAACTGTTATCGTTTATAAACGAGGTTTTATTTCAATGGAAAATGAATAAATGATTCACCTTCGTTAAATCGTCGTTTTATCATTCCCGTACCATACCCAAATTTTCCATATGTGCATCTGCATACCTTATGATATATTTGCCATAAATACTGTCAAAGAATATAGAAATAGGAAAATGATTTATTTGTTTAGAAAAATACAGTCATTTTTATTATTACCATTTATTTGTGTGGATCACAAAAAGGTATGGTATAAAATAATTCTTTTTTTAAAATATAGAGAAAACAAATTTCTGAATAATTATGAATAATGTAAAATATACAAGATCAGTAATATATCTACGTAGAAATAAAAATTACAATTATGATCAAGCGAAAGAGAATATATTTAAATTGACAAAAACATCGATAAGAAGTTTACAAGAAGACTTATTATTATAGAAATTTTCGACACATTGTGTGCTCCTCGATGTACAATGAAACATAAATTAATGGAAATTTAGTTGATTGAAACAAATTTGTAACATAGAAGCAAAACTTTTCTATGTCTGTCATTCAACCTACGCACGCTCTGTGATCTCTTTTTCCATTTGATTCTGAAGTTTCATTTCAATTATGCTCATTGTCGCATCCCTAATTTTACTTTTCTCTAAACCGACTTGCTGAATCTTTTCCATTTGCTTCGTAACATATTCAACTCTTCCCTTGAAATATTCCTTCGCATCTTGTATGTTTTTTTGCACGTAGTATCCAGTCCCAATATCTACTAATACATCACTTGTATTTGCGAGCTTTCCAGTAACATACATTGATCCGGTAAGAGGAACAAGTATTTCTTTCCCTATTAAATACACAATAAATACTTGATAATCTTATGATCATACAACTAGTAGACCTACGATAACGAGGATCCAGAAATGAACACAGCGCATGTTACACAGCTTAGGCTTATGATTATTTTACTTGGTAACTTAATGCTAAATTTTTCTACACTAAGTAAGGTTTGTTAAATTCTTCTAACATTTTCTTAATATATAATCTCTAACATTGAAAAAAGATATGAAAATTTAAATAGAATGAAAAGATAACTTGTTTCCTAACCTATAAAATCACATTTTACAAAAATAAATTATATATATTTAGTTAATTATTAAAAAGTAATAAAATTGTAAGAACTAACCTTCGACTTTGGGCGTAATTTTTTCTAAACATGATCCAGATTCAAGGAATCTACTTTGTGCGAGTTTTAATTTGTGCAATGAATCTTGAAAGATATTGAGTTCATGATCCATTTGCTGTTTCAACTGCATTAATTGTTGTAAATTTAAATTAGAAATATCGATTTGTTGCATTTGAGAGCCTTCGGACATTACTACTCCTGACATTTTTAAACGTTAAATTAAAGATCACACTAACGTATCTCAAAAAACTGATCTGTAACACCGTACGTCCTTTTTTTAGAATATCCAAACATGGATAAAACGACACAGACAACAACGTTGTTTTACATGAAACTTACAAATATTTCCAACTGGCAGCACTTGTCGTATAAAACACAACTGCCATCTGACGGAAAGAAAAAATATTTTTCATACCAACGAATAATAATATTAAAAATACTATAAAATTCATTTTCATGATTTTTATCAAAATATTATATGCATAAATTAAACAATATATTACTCAGTAACTATTTAAATGAATATTTTGTACCGTTATACAAAAATATTATGTACTTTAGTCGGTAATGTCAGTCACGCGCATGACTTATCGGTAAGAAACTTTTTCTAAGATTCTAAGATAAATATGTAATAAAGAAATCTCCGTTATTGTTTGAGAAACAAAACTGACTATCTGAATCCTTCAGTTCGACTTTCTCATATACAGAGTTAAATATATAATATTATGATCACTTGTATCCTTGGTTAGTCGTGTAAACACCGTTCTTGCCGACACATCGCAACCGTAAAGTATAATTTAACTTAATTTATTTAATTTTCAAATTTATTATTTTAACAATATATTCGTAGTATTGATATTATATTTTTATTAATAATATAAACTGGTATGTATTATAAATAATAGAGTTTACGATAGAGATATGATTTTTTAACTACATTATTTGACACTGCATTACCGACGTTACAGGAAGTCTATTTAATCGATTTAATAGTTATATATTTTCAAGAGAATACACAGTAAGAACTTTTTTTTCTTCAAAAGAACACAAGCAGGATAGGCGTTAATGGAATAAAAAATATTTGTTTAATCGTATCACATTATTATTTTATTTTATTTTATACGCATCTTTGTGCTTACATACTCCAATGTCTAAACATATCAATTAAATCTAATCTTGCATATAATTGCTGACCAAGTTAGAAATAAAAAAATTTTTCCTCTACTTTATTAATGTATCTATCATGATAGTATGCAATTGTCGAACTTTTCCTTTTTAATATTCACATAAATTTTTATTAGATTCGCCTACGTGAAATGAAGCATTCGTTAATCGTGTACGACAAATATCTTTCGTCTTTTTTTTTTTCTTTTTTTCTTTTTTATTTTTCTTTCTTTCTTTTTCTTTGGATAAACATTGGCTCGAGGATATTCCTCGAAGGACATCCAAATGTAGACACGTTTGCGGACAGTTATAGCAAAGAAGGATCTCCAACGGCGGGAACAAGTTACTTTTTTTTTTTTCTTTTTTTGTGCGCTCTTAATCTAAAACGTATGTCGATATTTTGTAGACACATTTTTATTTAATCGACGAATAATATTTTGTTTAATATCGTTAACATTTTTTGTTTCTTTTTTTTTTCTTTTCTTTTTTTTCTTTTACACGATCAGACGATCGTTCGATTTTTTTTAAGAGTGCAAAGTTGTTTTTTTTATTGTACTTTCACGTCGTCTGTAATTATGTGCATATATTTTAAACAAACGATATAGTTTCCTCTGACAATAGGTATCATCGATTTTTCTCGGCATCTCATCGATAATTGCGTCGTATCGGGTAATAAATATTTTTTTCTTTCTCTTTCTGTTTTCTTTTTTTCTTTTTCACAATTTAAGCAACAGATCTTATATTTATACGACAATTTTGCCGTTATTACATATACATTTCTTTCTAATTTTTATATATATATACGTGTTGTATTTATATTTATATATAATTTATCGGAGGACATTACGTTTGCCATAGACACAAATGTTCTTTTCTTTTTTTTTTTTATACACCTGACCCTTCAAAATTATTTTATAAACGTGCGTAACTCTATACATATATTGACGATTGAATTGTATTTTTAATGATAGAAGAAATATATATAAACCACGAGATGAACATAAAAATACGAAGTAGTGAAGTATGTAAAAAACACGTCGATTATATTGTTAATATTTAAGGGTCAGTGTGTATTAGAGATTGTCAAGCGAGAGCACGCACAAATGATATTGTCTATAATTTAATGATAATTAGTATCTGTTTCCTTTGTTGATCCCACGTAATAATCAGGATACATTAAAATATTACAACTGAATTGTTGTAACGGATATTTTTTTATTCCATATATTATGTATATTTTTATCATCATTATTTCTTTCTTTCTTTCTTTCTTTCATTCTTTAACAAGCCAATCAAATTTTTTTTTCGCATATGTTCCTATAATTAGCAAACAATTTCTAAATTTCTAACAGCATCGATTCCTCTTATCGATCATTCAATCTAAAATATAATAATGTTAATACAATTTTCTATATACTTTATATACTGTAAAATTTCGTTTTCTCGAATTTATTATAAAAGGTATCCTTCGAGCAGCTAATTCATTAATTACGTTATACTTTAGTTCATTAGCGGGGAAACGAGTTTCCGTATCGTTAGGCCAAATTGGAAAATGAATTAACGATGTTTATCATCACTTAGATATGCGCTGTGGAACAATTAACGTTCTTGCTCTCGATTTTAATATTAACTCTTCATCCTTTTTATATTTTGAAAAAAATATTCGTAATAAATCACTTAGAAGGAAATAACAAATTTTTCCCGTAAGAGAATCGAAATATACATATATATATATTTAATTGTTCTTTGATATGCGATCAGAATTGCTTTGGTCGTCGAAACCGACTTAAAAGATTTTTTATCTTTCTTATTACGTATCTTGTCTTGAGGTAGAGAACATTTGTTTGGGGACGTGAATAAGAATTGTGAACAAGAACCATGGAATTTATTTCTTAAATGAAGAATAGAAACGTGTCGAATTTTCTAAGATGTACCAGTCATAATTTATAATATCGAGTACGTGTCACATTTTTTTTTATATCCCTCACAGTTAATAGCGCATCCTTCTTTTCTTGTTCTTTTTATTTTTTTGTATCTTTTTTCTTTTTTTTTTTTTAATTTGCTCATTTACAATAAGTACCTAATTTATATTTGCTTTATAATAAGTATATATATAAAAAAGAAGCATCATCGTAATTAATAGCACGACGTACGAAGACTAGGGTTTCTCGAATCGTCGAAATTGAAATATTGTACATAGGCTTTATGCGGTTTATTATTTCGTGTTAATCGTTTTTTTAGGACGATTTGAAAAACAATACTATTATATTATTATATATTATAGCTATATATTTTATTTCCCTAAATATTGCGCCGTTATTGATAACACTACGTTGTACATAATACAATTTTCTCTCTCTATACACATACTAATTACATCACATAACGTCAAAGCGACGCTATATTCTCTTTGTAATGATATCTTTGTACAAGAAGCGATTATTTTATTCGATATTACTCGTAGAGTTAATTTATTTTTAGTAATAGAGTGTGATAAACGGAAGATGAGGAAGCGATTTTCTTTTGAGGTATTATCGATACAGCGATTTAAATTACGATATATAATATAATATTATAATGTTATTTCTTTTGGCTTTGTGAAGTGTGACGTCCATGAAAAAAATTCTTTATTAAATATTCTTTCGAGCGTTTTTATTCGCAACAAAAGAAATGAGACCTTATTAGCATTGGCAGTGAATTTTGGAATTTATCCAAATTTGCCAAAAATTTGTTAGCGCGTTTCCCACTCGGTAAGAATATAACAACTTAACGATAATTAGTTTCTTTTTTTTTTTCCTTCGATATACATTCATGTATGAAATGATAATTAATAATATTGACGAAAATCACAATAAAGTGTGAAGTTTTCCATGTACACTTGTACACATCACACACACGCAAACACACACGCGCGCACACATAAACATACACGCATGCACATAGTCATAAATATTCATCCATTTATATCCATGCATCTACGAATCCACGAATCCATGGATCTGCGCTTACTTTAAGCTTATTTTGCGCTTACTTAGCGCTTATTGTGCTTACCGCGAATACCACGCATCCATATATCCGCGTAACATTAAATTTCGATGCGTAGCAGTAAATAAGCTATACGGAAATACACGATATCGCGTGGGTATATCTTTTGATTTTTTTGTTACAATACATCGGAAATATCTATACAAGCGCAGTTACACGTATAACAACGTAGCTTATCTTGGCTTATACTTTTCGGAAGGAGATCACTTTGATAAATAACAGATTTGAATTTTGAAAAAGGAATAAAATCAAATAATACGTTGTCAATTGACACAAGCGCGACTTGTAACAAAAACTCTTCTCCCATTTTATTTATTTTAATGATCGAATTTTCATTTTTTATTCTTTTTTCTTTTGTACAGCCGACCTCGACGTTCCCAAAAGTAATGTAACGATAGTAAGAGAAGATTTTTGAAAATGGTAGTAACGATTGGATAGAAGATAGCATAATCGTTGATCGATGATCGAACGAACGATCTCTTACGCTCGTCTCGATTGAAATAATATATTCGAGGAAGGTCAGAGAAAAAGGCCTGCGCATCGATAGGCCACCCCAGGGCAGTGTATATCTGGATCCAATATGGCTCCACGATGAAATCCTCGAACACCCGGTACTTTCTCGAAACGAGCTGTTCTGACCCAATTCGTTGCTTGGAAAATAATAAAAAAAAAAGAAAAAGAAATGAAGAGGAAAGTTTTTAAATAGACTTTTTTCTACACTTCCGCCGTTAAACGATAAACATTTTCGTCTTTTAAATTTCGAGGTCCGCGTACGATCATCATCGGTCAAGATCGGTGGTACGAGATAACTAGCACGCATAGGGACCGTCTCACACTAGGGTTAACATATTATTTTATATTCATTATTTCAAGCATTATTTCACTTTTTGTCTTTCATGTGGCGAACGAAATGCCCGTTTTATACATAATTATATATATATATATATATGTGTGTGTGTGTGTGTGTGTGTGTATATTCTTTTAATCAAACTTATTAAACATATGTTTTAAGAGACTCGTTAAATATAATCTATCGCACTAAACGTTAGCATATTTCAAGGCTTCTCTAACAATTTTAATTAGTACATATATCGATCTTTATTTTCAGATGCGGACAGGTCGTGTTAAAAAAAAATGTATTTTAGAATGATAATGTGACTTGTCTCGCGAAATGATGGGTTTTCCGTTGAAATTACTTTCTCTTCTTAGGATATTTAATCGCATGACCAAGGAAACATCGCGGCAACGTATCGACGTTCTTCTGTACAGTCTTAATTAAGAAATAACTATAATTATGTATACCTTCCGTTCCCCCCTTTTCTGTTGTGCTATCAAAGCACGTGTCGTTCTTTCATCGCAAAAGTCGATGTTTTCGAGCTTACACTGACAGTATACATCAAAGGCGTAATTAATTATTATTTCTTTTTTAATCGATACCGAGATACGATAGTTTCTTCATCTAAAAGCTACATTACGCGATAAGATCTCAGCGTATATATCTCTCTCTTTCTCTCTGTTCTTTTGTAACATAATTTTTTAACAAATATTCACACATATACAATATGTACACCCGAATATATAGATGTCGAACGATGTCAACGAAAAAAATGCTTTTTTTTCTTTTTATTTTTTGTTTAACTATATACAAGAAGCACGTAGTACATTCATTTAGTTTTTTCTTTCCACGAGTCCGCCATTTGACTAAATTATTGTCCGCTTTAACCGCCATTACGATAAGTGGGAATATTACGGTACGCGGTATGGAAGGCCTTAAAAAGTCGAGTTTTTATTTAATTTTTCTTTACTTTTCTTTTCTTTTCTTTTCTTTTCTTTTCTTTTCTATTTTCATTTTCATTTTCATTTTCTATAACGTATACCATATTCTCAAGCAGTAGAAGTAGGTACAACATACTATTATAATATTTTATCTATGAGACGCGCGGTGCATTATTTACGTCATATGCAGATCACCTTTAAGTATTCTCGTAAAGGTTTTCTTAAATTGTTGATTAGCCAAAGCATAGCAGAAAGGATTCATAGGGCTGTTTGCGTAGCACAGGAAATAGGAGAACATGAAGAGATGTTCATTCGTGCACGGAGGATTCGTACAAAAGCCTTCGACGAGAGCCAAAATGTGATAGGGCGTCCAACAGGCAACAAAAGCTCCAAGAATAAAAGATATCGTCCTGAAGGCCTTGCGTGCTCTGTTTTCCGTTCTTGACTTTTGCCGTCCCATTGTCGGATTTCTCTGAGTTTTCGCTTTCAATCGTTTGCCGATGGTTTTGACGAAGTCTCTTCTGGAACCACCTTCTTCCCCATTTTCAGTTTTTCTCTTTTTCGATTGTTTTTTAGTCTCTTGTCCGTCTGTTCCAGAAATCGTCGGTACCATACTACTAGAAGATGAATTTTGTGGTGGATTATTGCTGATCTTGGTCGCTTGATCGGATAATCTTTCAGTAGTTTGATCAGAAAATCTCTCGGTCGTGCAGTTCGACGACTCAACGGTTTTTGCTGTATTAATCACAGTCGTAACCGGTTGACGTTTACTGTTTTCAGCTTTGACGGTTACTTCGGTATTCACTTTACTCACCGTAGGAGATGTTTGAGATGCTGCGTTAGTTTGTTGAGTGATAAAGACACGGGGTGGATGTGTTTGACTTGAGGCATTCGACATTACTGGTAATTGCTGTTGCGTTTGTTTATTCGATAAATTTATCTGATTCGTGCCAGCTTGTTGAGTCGCTCGGAGGAGTGCAGCTTGTAACAAACTAGTCGTAGTTGCCGTGGAAATCGCGTTGCAGAGAATAGGCGACGACGGTGCGGTAGAAAGAGGATTCGCTAAACTACAAGAGAAAGATGAGGGTGGACTTTCGTAGGAAGGACTCGGAAGAATGACCGAGCTTTCGTCCATGTACCTTAAATCGGCACCGTCGAGGCCAGTTAAAATATCGTATGTACCTTGACCATGACTGGAAACGACCAAGGATTTCGGTCTTTCACCAGACGACGAGGTCGAGGGACTTTCTGTTATCGGTGGGCTGCTTTGAAATTGCGTGGGGGGTGGTATGATATTTTGTTGAGAACTGTTCAAAGATATTTGTTGAACTGGTGGCGTGGTATCCTCGTTCGACGTGGTCGTATGTTTATTACTATAAACGTCGATAGATTTTAATGATTGTTCTGGGGTTAATGTTTGACTACTGGATTTGTCTGGCTCTATGGGATTATCGGTATCCAGAAGACTGAGCTCCTGTATCTTCGGCAGTGTTTGGCCTTTCTGCGTCATCGTGCTGGATTCGCATATTGGACTAGTCGTCGGTAAGATTTTCTTCATGGTTGGTACGTTTGTTTCAATCTTAACAGGTACGATGCCGTTCAATCGACCATTGGTGGCGAATACTTGAAGCGCACCAGATTGGACGACCAAGCCAGCGAGAGACGAACGTTTCTTGACGTTACTCAACTGTTGAGTTGGTCCGACGGTACTTTCTTCGTCGGAATCAAAGGCCGGGCTACTAGATCGTTCGGATTTTTCTGTTTCCGTAGGCATTGTACTTGCACAAGTAACCTTGTCCGCGGCATCCTCCGTTCCACCGGATCCCGAAACTTTGGATGACTTTTGTCCGCTATCGGCACCAGCTGTATTATCTTCTTGACCCCCCGACGAGCTCACTCTAGGCTTATCTTGACTCAACAAGGTACTTTGCGTCTTTGATATACCTATACCGGCTGCACGACCAGCCATTCCAGACATGGCACCGGCGCTCAATGCCACCATCGATTGCATTTTTCTCTGCTTCATTTCGCTTTTCTTTTGCATGTCATACGCGGTTTTATATATTCCTCCGTATAGAATGAAAAGTACGATTAACGTTGTCCAATAATAACCGATTATAAGAGCGGTATTGAACACTGGATCTTTGAGAAATTGCACTGCACACTGTCCCGGATTGAGATCCCTGTAACCGATGAAGTGTTCCCAACCAAATATACTGATGAAAAATAGAAGTGCTGGTATTATCCAAGTAATAGTAACCATCCAGATGACGCGATTCTTTGTTCGCCAACTGCGGTATTGCGCAGCAATTTTCACCGAGCAAAAGCGATCGATCGTAATCAAAAGCACCGTGTACTGTGACACAAGGCAGACGGTGTAGTCTACGGATAACCATAGGTCGCAGAGTAGAGGTCCAAGGTTCCAATAGCCCATTAGAACATATACCGTATAGAATGGCATAGAGACTGTACCTGTGTAACAACGAAGATATAGTAGGATCGATCAGTTCTAGTATATCTCGTGTATGATGAAACAATCGTTCTTCGGACCATCTATAACATCCGACCTACATCATTTACAACTACACTACTACTATTATTACTATAACATATCTGTCATACCAACGAAAGTACGATATTAAACGAGAAATAAAAGCGAAATATGAACGGACAGCATGCTCTTCTAAACACATCATTTTAATTTCCATTCGTGTTTATTAAATTTTAAGAAATGTAACAAAATATCATCGTCATCATCATCATCATTATCATCATCATCATCAATTCTACGAACGAAAATCTTACCGATGAGCATGTCAGTGGCAGCTAACGACGCGATGAAATAGTTGCTCGGCTGTCTGATGGCTCTGTCGACGATAAATGCCAATAATACAAGAATATTACCACCCACTGTTAGTAATATACATATTGCTAAGCATATAGCTATCAGGACCGTTTGCCAGAGCTCGAAGGGTGGTAATGCAGGTGCTATATCTGTTTGATAGAGAGACAAATTATATATCTTTTTTATTAAATTTAATAATATCATATATTGACGTGTGTGTGTGTGTGAATACATTAAACGCGTTAAAAACAAATGTTTTCAAATAAATCAAAATAAATGTGAAGAGATGTGAGATTTTCGATGAAAATTAATTGGAAAGAAATATACGATTCAACGAACTGTTTAATCTCAATTATATTACCCAATGACGACGGGGTTGTTACGTTTCCTGGTATCGTGGTATTGGTTGCATTTGTTGGAAACCATTCGGGCAAAAGTTCCCCGTATTCACCGCTACTCCAACGTGGATCCTCAGGATCAGGCCAAGTTCCATTCAATTGGGTACATTCCGCTGTCAAAATCTGATTGTATACGTATCGACATAGACGTTCTCGTTGTCTTTTCAGTTTCCTGCAAATAGAGAAATAACGGAAAAGAAGAAAAAAAGAAAGAAACGAAACGAAACGAAACGACATTGTGTCAACGTTCGTTAAATGAATGAAAAGAATACAAATAGAATCGAAATTCATATTTAATCGTTAAACGTCGATAAAACGAAAAAGACAAATTATAACGAAATAATTAAATTCATTGCGCGATGATTATTTATTTTCTTCACGGGAATGTATTATATTCAAAAGTGTCATAACATTTTATATCTTTTTTGCTTTCTTATAATCTTCGATGTTTAGTACTAACATTAAAGAAAATGTGACACCGGTATTTCCTGACTCCTAGCCGACACGAACACCCCCATCTTCTTCCATTCCCTTCCCCCTCCTATCCCTCCTCCTCATCCTCCTCCTTCTCTTCTACCCATCTTCTCTTGTGCTCTATGAAGCGTCGTTGCAGTGGCAACACGAGAGGCGAGTCAAAGGCTGAATACACTGGGCACACAATGAGCTTGAAATAAGCATGAATGGAACCACATCTATCCCTCCCGTCACATACCGGTTCCGTCGCTGCCAGGCAAGAAACGACGACGACGACGACGACGACGACGACGACGACGACGACGACGACGACGATGACGATGACGACGCGCACCTTAAAGAGGGTGAATTCTTTTTGTCAGCGAAGATACGAGTCGACGATCCCGATTCTCCGAGCTAGTCAAAAGATTTCGCTCGGACCTCCTTCTTTTCACCCTTTTCTTGTTTTTTTTTTTGTTTGTCACCATTGAATCATTTATTACTAGGTATTACAGGTTTTCTCTTTTCCTTTTTTTCTTTTTGTTATTACTTATTTCATTATATGTTTGTTGTTAACTAATCGATCTCATTCATATCGCGATTCCCTGTCAATATATTTTGATACGTTCTCGTGGTTAGGATAGATTTCTTTTTTGTTTTGTTTGTTTGATATTAATTTGTTTGCCATGTTAAATTATTTGTTCGAATATTATGTAAAACCTTGTGGTATTTTCAATGATTTGGATTTAATTTGCCTTTTACTTTCATCATACTGATGCTTTTTTTTTGGGTATCAGTGAACGTCATTGTAATGCTATTTACAATAATGGAAGAGAGAGGCTATTATCATAGCGAGCTATTCGCGCAGATAAGGAAGCAGAGCGTATAAAAAGCTGGGAAGCAGTATCATCCATTGTTTCAATCTTCTAGACTCTGGAGACTAAACCCCCTCTCCGTGGAATCCGTATAAAAATAGTTGGAAAAGACAAAACGATTTTGTCATTGTTTTGTCTTTTTTATTCATTAGATTTTTCAGTTGAAAATAACTTTGAAAATGATGTATGATACACTATTTTCAGACACGCGAAGTTTTCTACTTTAAATAGCAATCTGTTGTGGATAATCATGCGTTTATTAAATTCCGTATTTCTCTTGGGAACATTTTAAAAATACTATAAATAAAACGATGATTAAGTGATAATTAGAGAAACGAGATAATCTATCTTTGTTATAACGAAATAATTTTTTAAAGGTATTGTACCATAACATAATTCGCGATTATTCGTTCCACGTTATTGATAGGGGTTCTTCTTTGCCACCTTTAACATGAAAGGGTCCCAAAGAAAAAGAAAGAGAGAGAGAGAAAGAGAGGGAGAAGGAAAGAAAGATAATGAGCTGAATTTAGCATCTATAATTGTCTCGATAAGGAACGTCTTTAATTATCCTTCTCGTTTATGAGAAGTCACCGTAGCATAAGACTTTTCTCGTAATATTTTATTTCACATTAAATGACGTTCTCGCAAGGACTAAAGGGGCGAGTTTGAGAAATAAATATATTCATTTTTCGAATTGCTATTTGATACGTCGTGAGAGATATGAACCGTAGATTAGCTTTGCTTTCGAACGAGAAAGTTCAAATGGGCGTACGTCTGAGCGCGTAATCGAGTAGAATCGCAAAACGAAAACTCATGGAAAAAGCCAAAGCTTTAAAGGGGATGAAGAGAAGCTGAAAAAGAGGGTGCTCGATAGGCATCCATGATTTTAAACCCTTCTTCTCTGGTAGATAGGGAAAATCGTTTTGTTTAATGAGTTGTAATATCGATCGGCTGTGTGAGATCGTTTGCGTTGGAAATCCTCGAGATCGAGGATTTCGTGCGGGATAAGAAATCGATTCGGGAAGAGATTCGTGAACCCGTGTTCCCGAATAAATTGAATCATTTTTCGGGATATGTGAAAGACAAAAATCCGGAGGAGCATATTATAATGGAGGGTATGATTATTAAAAGAACCATTGAAGATTGTATTACCGTGATATGGACCTTGAATAATTTTTATAAAATACGATTAATTCCCGGCGATGATATTTTCATAATATAAGATTCCGAAAAATTCTCTCGAAACATTTTTATATATTATCATGGATAATATAAAAGATAAGAGAGAAGAAAATGAGAAATGGTATAACAAGAGTCCCACTTCAAACGAACGAATTTCAGGAATGTACTCAGTTTCAGTTGAATACCAGTGAGATGTAAAGAGATTAGAATTCAACGAGAAGTAGCTTGAAAGAGTAGAAATAGGAAAAAGAAAAGACAAGGAGAGAGGTGAACGTTGAAGCAACGCCGAGTGGACGAGTATGCAAAAATACAGCTCGGGTAAAGAAGGAGTACGGCTTGTACAATACGGCTATGCGTAAGCTTTCATGAATTTGCTTGGAAAGAAAGAGTGTATATAAGGTCCACTTGCAACTTAGATTATATATCAAAATATATATCTATATATATATATATATACACGTTGAAGTTTACGTACCACATATATACACGTATACAAATCTACATATTTGTATAAATTAATTCAGAATATTGTTATATCTCTTGCATTAGTGCATTATTCATCGATGTATTAGTTATACGATTACTTGCTTAGCACGCTCCGTTTGTATCATGGATAAATTTAATTGGTCTAGCGGATGTATCGATTTATCGAGTACGTGCTACGAATATGGTGGATACATGAATCAGAATTTATCGACGAGCACGAAAATGTAACAACCTCTTCTACCACCATTTATTTCCATGAAATTTCAATACTTGGACTTTAAAAACGTACCGGTATTAAAACTTAATCTTTTCTGCTGTCATAGTCGAGGAAATATTCAGGCTAGGAGAGAAGCAATCGTAACGTGGCTCCTTTCAACTAACACCGAAGAGGTACATCATCGTTATAATGAAACTCACTGGTGGTGGTAACCTGTGGATAGAACATCCATCTTTCTCGTGTGTATGTGTGCCAAGAGGGTGGCAAAAGGGAGCGGCTATATAAGTCCGCTGAGCAGAGGATCATCGCTGTGGAATGGCATGATCATACGGACGGATGAAGAGGGAGTGAAAAAGGGGTGGTTCAAGAGAGACAGAAAGAGAGAGAAAGAAAGAGAGAGAAAGAGAGAAAGAGAGAAAGAGACGAATGAGGGAACTGAAACGAACTGGTGGGGTGAAATTGCAAGGAAGAGAGAAGTAGAGACGACATGGTAAAGGAGAGAGAAAGAGAGAGAGAGAGAGAGAGAGAGAGAGAGAGAGAAAGAAAGAAAGAAAAAGAGGAGAGGCAACAAGTACCTATCCAACTAGCATCGTTTCGACGAACGGTGAATACTGTGGAAAGTCGCGGTTTCAGCCCGTTCCTCTTCCATCTTCCTTTTTAGTATCATTGTGTTTAAATCCCACAGAGACAGCTCTCGTATTTTCCAACATAAATCTTTTTCCCATTCGAAGATCGTCGATCTATTATCGATTTATTGTTCATAATTGATACTTGAATTCTCACGATTTTCGATGTTCATCGATTCGTACCGACAAAACCAGATGTTCGGCTAATGACGAAAGAAAGAAAGAGAGAGAGAGAGAGAGAGAGAGAGAGGGGAGGGGAGAATTTGAATTGTTCTACCGAAAAAAAATACTATACGGGTATATAAACATTCGTTGGAACGGAATGCGTACAAAGATAGTTTTGATAGGAACGTCCGAAAGTATGATTAATGTCCCTACGAAATCTTTCATCTTGCCATTGACGAAAATGTTGGGAAAATAACTGATGAGCCTTTTTTTTTTTTTTGTTTTTTCTTTTTAGTAACGATCGTTAATTATTCTTCTTCTTCATTGTGTTATTCCCCAAGTGTGTTTTTCGTATATCGATATTTTTGTTCTCTCTCTCTCTCTTTCTCTCTTTCTCTCCCTCTTGGAAAAAAATTGATATTCTTTCGAGTAAATCGAGCTAACGTGATCGTTAGTATATCATCTAACGCGCGCGCGTTCTTCTATTTGCGAATATCTTATATCGAATAAATGATAGGTGGGAAAATAGGATAACCGTTGATAGTAACACGGTCGTGGCGGGACAGGGCGGGTTGGGGGAGGTGAGGTTACTCTATTTTAAAAATTTTTTAGTACTATCCTCGAGGGTAATCTTATTTTTATTTTCCGCTTGGCTCTTACTCGATAGAACCTTTCAAGAGACTTCTATGCATGTGAAATACGTAACCCATAGCTCCAGGCTGGTATCGGAACCACCTGCTACTTCTTCGCGTCTCGTCTTTTCGTGACATCCTTTCCTTAAATTCACAGATATATATATATATATATATATATATATATATATATATATTTCTTCATCGAAATAGGCCGTTATCCATTGGATAAAATTTTATCAAGAATTTCAAAATTATATACGTATGCATATACATTATAATATATATATATATAGAATTTAAAACTACCGAACTACAGGTAGAATTATATTTAACGACGACCTTTCTTTAGATTCATCGTCGACCGCATGGTATTTGAAAATTGTTCAAACGATTAGAAAAAGTCGATAATTTCGTCGATAAGATCGTAAGTATCTGTTTTATCTAACCGAGTATTTGCATCTTGTATTTGCATACACGATAATGCGGTTACGTTCGATGAAACTTTTCCAAACTAATATCACTGTGCAGGTTTT